GCTTGCTGAGCTTTATAATATGAGACAGGTCTCGCCACTGACGTCAAAGGTCGATGTGAAATGGTGGTAGCTTCTATATGAATCGACGCTATCCGCCGATGCCGAAAACGTCACTCTGCGGTAGTAATATCCGAAAATCTGAGCGTTCGCACTTGTAACTAGAAATGAATTACCGGCTATTTTGTTGAGTTTTAAAAGAGCTTTCTTTTGATATATAATGTAGACCACAACCTAAGTTCTTTCATGGTAAAAACACAGAAATATTATCCGTGTCTATGCTTAAAAACATCGATCTTCAGTAGTAATATCTAAAAAAGTGAGTGTTCACACTTCCAATCAGAAATGAGTTACCCACCGTTTTGTAGAGTTTTGAAAGAGTTTTCTTTCGATATACAATGTAGACCGCAACCTGAGTTCTTTCTCGATGAAAAAGCTGAAATACTATCGTTGGCTATGCTCAAAAGGTTATTTTTAACAGTAATATGGCAAAAACGTGGGTGTTCGCAGTATACATAACAATTGAGCAATAGACAGTTTTGTAGAGGTCCGAAGGGGAACCAACGATTCTTATTGCACCCCGTCCTTTGATAATTTTATGTAATTAGAGGCCGAATTGTCAGGGCTACAAAACACGTAGTATTAGACGTTTCCGCTGTATACTCTATTCGGCTTTATTTGGATTTTTTTGATTTTTTATGAATTTTAGATAATATTCGTTTATTTTTTATTTTTTTTAAACTTTAATTCTTGACTGTCTAGTCCAATGGCCACTAAAATCGCGTTATCCCATTGCATGGATGGAGATAGTTCATTGTTTTCAAAAGTTAGCAGATTCTCCTTCTTTGTAGGGAAGTTTTTTTCTCAAAATCTGGCGTTGTCAAAACATCGTTGGCTTCTTTTACGCCTAATCCAAGATTTTTAGTTTTTAAATTGGGATTGAAACCTTTGAATTACGGATTTGGAAAACTCTGACTGGTGTCTTACGAATAACCCGGGAAAAATACAACAAAAAGCTGTAATGATTATCCAGAGTAGGCACAGATGCTTTAATACGATTTTAGGTACTTTCGCATGTATTTTCTTTATCGTTTCGTGCACCACTAACTAAATTTCAAAACACTCTAAGATTTTTGTAGGAAAATACAAAGAAGGCGCATCTAACTTATTTTACTTGTATCAATTGGTATTCCTGCTTCATCGTTTTTCCTTCTTTCATATCGAAATTTTGGTACACGTCTATTGAAACTGATAACATTATTTACTTCTTGATGTCGAATACTATCTTCTAGAAAGACAAAGTTCAGTAACGGTTGTGCCAAAACTCGAAAATTAATGTATGTTACAATAGCATTTTTTGAATTTATGGACAAAGTTAAAAATAAGAATTTAAGGATAATTGCGGCTATCATGTTAAAAATTTTAATAAAAATAAAAACTAAAAACTAAAAACATTACACACTAAAACGTTTAAGTTCAGGATTTAGCACAAGAGTTTAGAAACCTACTTTTACTGGCCTTCTCACCCGATGGGATTCGTATGTACTTGATACATATAAATGTAATGACATAGGGACAATCGTGTACAGAGCCATTCGCATATGTTCGTCATATAAGTTGCTTCATGAGGAATTTGATAAAATTAGAGAAATTGTCAGTCAGAACGGTTATCCAGATAAGTTTGGAGATAAAATAATTTGTGAGAAATTGAATTAATATAATATACCCACAAGAGGTAATACAGCCAACAGAGACCCTAAAATTGTTCCATTCTGGGCGATTACTTGCGATTAGCAATAAAATCGTCAGTTGTTAAACATCACCGATATATTGGCATTCTTAAAGATCCTGGTGATTTTTCTGTTCTTTTAATAATGATCAATTAATTGCGATTAGTTGTTGATTTATGCTAAATGATTTTTTATTATTCACCGTTTTATTCTGCAGTGGAGCAAGCATATAAGAAACATGATTTCAAAGAGAAATGTTCTTCTTTTCAGATTATCTTTTTAGTTTAGCTTAAAACGGAACTGCCAAGGATGTCCTCTGTCGTTTCCTCAGGGTTGACTCATTGTTTCGATTTGAGTCAGCTTTGAACCGAGGAGTCCAGCTGACTGTTAAGCTAAAAATTTGCCGAGTAATTGCTATTAATAGCTAAAATATCATCGATTTATGGCCAAATTTCACTACATGGGGAGCTTCTGTAATGTGAAGCTGAGCTATTATGCAAACTATAGAATTATCTGAGTCGAAATGTAAAGATTTACGACATAACTTGTTTATACTGGATAAAGAAACGGACTTGTTGAAAGTGTAAAGTGACAAAAATAATCAATTAAAAGAAATAATTGAAAAATCGTGGAATAAAGTGTTTCGACTTGAGCAGCGTGAAATCAGTCCTCGCTATACTACGGTAGTAACTATTTCTCAAGATAAAATCAGCTGAATAGTCTACTCCCATTCAGTCGAATTCGTTAGTATCTGTGTCTCACCAGGGAACTAGTTCCCGAAAACAATTAGTATATCGAGGTTATGATAAGTAAGACCGCACGAAAAGCTTTTGTCGAGCATGTTGTATCTTCTACAATGGGAAAAATCATTCGATTGAATTCTGTTTAAAGAGAAATGACTCTCATCTACAACAATTAAACAGATATCTACCAGTAAAGAGAATGACTTAATACTGAAAGAATTAAGAGAAACTGCACAAACATCGTCTCAGGAGGATATACCTCAATTAACTACGAATGATGCACAGATACATAGTGCTTTAACTCGAAAGTATAGAAGGAATAGAGAATCTGTGTGATACATACAAAAAAACGAAAATAATCATCGTCCCTTTTATCGTCGCATTGTTTGGCGCAATAACTTTAATAAAAAAAATAATGATAGTGCTGTTAATAAAAAATATCTCTATTAGTTTAAATGTGAATAATGTCACTAATCGTAAAGTTACATTCAATACGAACACTGTTACGAACAGCAGCGTCTACGATGATCATATATGCCAATCTCTCTCTATTAAGCATCTCGGGTCTCGGAACAAGTCTTTAGTTTGGATCAAGTTGCCTTAAGTAAATATGAGATGAGTTTATTACAATATGGCCTTAAAAATATTCCTGTTAAAACTTATAGAGGATGCAATGGTAGACAGTTTTAGAGTTTACCATGAGTGATGATTCACCACCGATTGTATAGCACATGTTCACAATCTCCAGTTGTGTAAAACGGAGATTAAACACATTAAACATGGATTATTAACATTGAAGTGTTTGAGTTGTACTGGTAAAGGACGTTCATTGATTACACAGACTAGTTTGCCACCTTCTTTTTTGCTAAATTCGGTTTTTCCTTGCTTTATTTAATTCTTTTAAAGACTATTTGCTAGCGTAGGGCATACAAGCCATTTCATCTGAAAAGTCATCTATTTGTGCAATTCAAATATTTTGTCGTTGGGGATTACATCGCCCGGATAGTTCACTCTCATGACTACTCATCCTCATATTTAGTGAAGAAGGACGTAGTTTTTTCCATGTGAAATTCGAGATGTCTTAGTGTCTTGTGTTCCATTGCGACATCGTAAAACACTTCAAAAATTAATTCAACTTTATTCTATTATCTTGAAAGTTGTTTCTTCAACGCAATCGTTTTATGTTTCTAAATATAAAGAATTAACTATCCAATTTCAGGAATGATTGGCAAACGAAAAATGGATTGACTATACTATGACTGTTTGTTTCGTTAATTGTCCATTCATGCGAATTAATAGAGTGAAATCATAGTATAACTTTGGGAGAATTATCAGACGAGGCTCTTGGGAGCTGTAATAAAGATATTCGCGAGTTTTATCGAGTAAATGTGGACATGTAATGAATCCGACAGATATCTTTAATCAAGTTTTTATTCGTTTCGTTCAAGTCATAAGAAAAGTAATTACTGATACATTTGCTAAATGGCAAATACATTCATAAGTACGAATGACTACATCACAACCATTAAATGAAGATGATCAATACTACATAGTATATTTTTACAAAAATAAGTCGCTACCCAGTCAGTCATAGCTATTCCAGAAAAGCGCAGGGAACTCTTAGTTACGAAAAATTTTTACGTGTTTAGTGAGTTTCGAATAATAACGCGCAAGAAGCTACGAGTATGTAGAAATAATCTGAAACGCAATAATCGGAAACGCACGTTGCCGTGGAAACAAAGGCTTTACACGCGTGTTCCTGCGGTTTATTTTTACACACTCGAAGCTTCTTGCCGTTATTATTCGAAACTCGCTAAACGCGTAAAATTTTTCGTAAACAGAGTTTCCTGCGCTTTTCTGGAGTGACTGTGACTGACTGGGTGTGTTTTATATCGCATATGAAGCTGTATATATATATTGAGAAGGTCTTTCTGTCTTAGTACATTTTTAGCATTGATAAAAAATTTTAACAAAAGCATACTAATCGCAGTGAAATTGGAAAAAAAGCGTAAAAGTTTTTAAAAAACGAACGAATAAAATCTTTAATTTTGTAAAAAGTCCCCGAAAACGGAAAGATAAAACTTTTTTGAGTGTGCCATTAGAAAGAGCACATCAGATAAGCTACATAAGTTTGCTTAAGTTAGAAGAAAATGTTTTTTTTTTACATGTCCACCTTCTATGCGAAAGTTGCCCACAGTATGGCGTACACAAACACGCAAGAGAATCAATTTTTTTCGTTCTGTTTCATTTTTTGTTGTGTCGGAAATGAAAGAAAAATCTGACGCATGTGCACGATAGAAAAGAATAAGGCTCTAATACAAGTTTCTGTATTCAGACAGAATCTAAAGAAAATAACAAGTAGACGTTTACTCTTTAAACAATTTATAAGGGTTATAGTGTAACAATCAAAACAGTTTTCTTACCAGTACAAGCATTGTTGTTTATTATCAATTTATTATTTTATATAAAAGCTACAATAATTTTCGGTGATAAAGTGAATATGAAAACAATATTGTGCTACGGTGATTCTATGACATGGGGGTACATTCCTACTTTAAATAAACCTGAGAGACAGGGTGTGCAGCGATATGATCGTAAAAAACGGTGGACAGGTATATTGCAGACTTTGCTAGGTGATGAATATTATGTGGTGGAAGAAGGTCTAAATAGTAGAACAACCAATATTGATTATAGTGCGCCAGAAAAAGCCGGACGGAATGGCAAACAATTTCTACCAATTTGCTTATGTACGCATGCTCCTTTAGATGTGGTTATAGTCATGCTGGGTATCAATGATTTGAAAAATGAATTTAATCATCGTACAAGCAAAGATATCGCCAGTGGACTGGATGAGCTACTTACCATTATTAATCAATCAACATATGGCACTGACATGAAATCTGCACCAAAAATTTTATTAATTAGCTCGCCGATACCCACACATGAACAAGGCTTTCCGGACAATGCGTTTACAAATGCAATTATTCGTGCAAAAGATTTTGCCAAAGATTTTAAACAAGTTGCCGATAAACACAAGGCTTATTTTATGGATGCAGCTAGCGAAATAAAACCAAGTGATATTGATGGTATACATTTTGACGACGAAGCACATAAACGGCTTGCCGATATGTTGTATTCTGAAATAAAAAAAATTCTATAGTGTCACAAAAACAGAATTTAACCTTCTAGGAGTCAAGGAGCACGGGTTTTGTGAGTTTACACAGTATTTTCATCTTGTTTTGTAGCCATAGTGTGCTTAAGTTTTTTTCAATGAAGAATTAAACTGAGAATAAGATGATCATCTGATTGTGAATTCAAGTCCAAGAGCGTGGTAAATATTGCATGGAACATCAACGTCCTTTAGTACCGCTTAACGATGCTCTCTGGCAGGGAATATAACACTAGCTCGAAAAGGACGAATCCAGATCCATTAATTGGTGAGACCGTGAGCCCAGACACACAGGTAGAGTTCGTCTTACAAGGTTGTATAAGAACTATTGTTTTCTCGTTACAGAATCGTGTAACAAGTTATTATTCATTCTTTTGACATAAAGGACCATGCCGGATTTCAAAAGTATGTTGAACCAGAAAGTTATGTATCAGGTGCTGTAGAGCTTCTCGTAACGGAGCTAAACCTGTGTTGGATTTGAGTTAATACCTTGGGTTAAGCTATATTTATTGTGACTGAGAAAAAGGTGCAGAGCAAACAAGAAAGAGGCAGGAGCCCATTATATCATTTTTGACTGTTTTGATGATGTTACCTATGTGTATACTATAGAAGAAAACAAAAAAACGAATTTCAACGAAAGACACATTATTCAACGCAGAATTACGTGCTTATTACGAATATCTGCTTGATTTAGCGCTAAAACCTTACTAGCATTTACCAAATCACTGTTTTTAACTGATGGTATTTTTGACTATCGTTAACTATTCGTCGTTAGGCTAGTCGGCTGAGCCGACTTACTAACGTGTTTCAAAAATTTGAAACACGCTCAGTCGTGTTCAGAATTGATTTTTCTATGTAAAATATGCCAAAATACAAAATTAAAATACGATTCTGTATTTTTTCTAGATCAAAAACTGAAAAAACGGCGAAAAGTATCGCTTTTAGGTCACTTCGACCTAATATTATGGCAAAACAAAGGTTTGATCCCATGAGTGAAATACGTGACTCGATCCAGTTTTTTACGCTCCTTCCGAATATGAACCTTAAAATGGAAAAAACGTTGTTGAACATGGTTTAAAACTGAAAATACGTTCATGTGTTAGAGGAAAATCCGTATAATAGAAACCTCCAATACGTCGACTTTGGGCGCCAGTGATGAGATACAGCTGATTCCATTGGTGGAAGTCGCAGTTCTCTAGTTATGTCGGAAAAAAGGTTATAGTCAAAATACTTTTCTAACGAGAAGTGGAATTTTTATCATTTTCAACGGAAAATACCTTCACTGCAAACCTGTAGAAACCACAGTCCCTCATGTACGATCTTGGTTCAAGTCGCAAACGAAAGAAGACGTTTAAGTCCACATATCTGGATAAAGAAAACTTATGCCAGATCTCAGGGCCAAAACATCTAGATCTGTGAAAAACTCCGTTTTCTAGAAATCCTGCAAGTTTCAGAAACCATGGAAAAATACTTTTCAACGCACCATTTGATAGCCCGTTGAATTCTGAACACGGTGAAACACCAAATCTTTTAGACGCTTAAGTAAAAAGTTGCAATGAAAATACGGAAAGTTTATTAAGTTATTTCACAAATCTACTTTCCACTACCGTGTAACTTTGTCTCTGCGAGCAAAAGAGATGTGCAACTTTCACCAACGGAATCAGCGTCCAAAACTGCATCGAGTAAGCTGTATCTCATCACTGACGCCCAAAGTTTGTTTTCCCATAATATTAGCTCGAAGGGCCCTAAAAATGATATTTTTCGCCGTTTTTTCAGTTTCTGATCTAGAAAAAGTACAGAACCGTGTTTATACAGAACCGTGTGAAAATATTATTTTTGTTAGGGAACAATACTGAAAGAGCAAAATGTCTGCAGGAGCAGAGATAAAAAAATCTACGCAGACTTTATTTTACAATGAGAAATAGATGTCGTCAAAAATCAGTAAATTTTGGTAGAGCGAAAGCAACCATATGCAGGTAATGATACTTACACAATACAAATAACCTATTATGAGAACTAATCAGAAATATTTTTAGATCCCTGAGAAAACATGGTTTTCAGAAAGCCTTTTAGAGTTACGTTAGATTATAAACTTTTCACATCAAATCTGTCCTTATGCCAATATAAGTTGCCAAAGGCATGAGACCGAGTAAGTGGTATACGAGCGTTACCTCGTAGATGCGTGGCAAACAAACCTGGTTACTCGACTGGCTCAAAATTGCCATTATCGCCTGTTCGAGAGTACCACAGTCACTATAGTTGTCAAAGAAACAATGCAGCTAAAGCACTTTTCTCTGTCGATTTATTTCTCTTAGAGACAGCTTGAGTAGGCGCAGTTTGTCTCAGTGTCTGACAAGGTTCTCGCAGCGTTTTCAATGCCTAAAATATGACTACGTGATTTATCCATGGCTGATGGGTGATTAAGGAGCTTGATTGTAGCTATTGCATTGTGCGTTTCTGATATATTAGTGATGCCTATCAAATGCACCTAAGCTATTTATTTCGAAAAAAGCCACGACTTAGAGGTGTTTTATCGAAGACATTAAGGCGACTCACAGTAAAAAGAGGATAAAATGCACCTAACGTGCCTTCAAAACGCACTGTGGAAGCATTTTTAAGCCAGTCGAGTGGTTTATCAAGACACTTTTTTTCGACAGTGTACTCAAAAAGACGAATATTACGACGAGATAATATTCTAATATTCTGACGGATCCAATAAATTATTCACCGCTTGTCTACCTGTGTGTTGTTGCTGATTACTTCTGAATAAGTTCGATCAGCTATAGAATCGATAATGATTTCCATAAGTATATTGTTTTCCGCAATGAGACATCATCAATTGCATTTTGTCGTTCAAGACAAAGTTATAGACAGCCGGGAGATATCGTATTTTGCCCAGAATTCTTTGCTCTATAGGGCTATATGGTTTACAAAATTTTCTAATCCAAAACGAAAGACTTTGTTTTCTAGCCTTTAGGTTTGCTATAAATCCTATTATGAAGTGTTTCTCGAGAGACAGGCTCCGTCAAAATCCTACTTAGGGTTTCTTATCTCCAAAAAGCTTTTTTGTGTTTTGACCACATATATAGTACTCCATCCGACTCATTTTTGTTTGTAGATTGCGAGTACGGCCTTAAAAGTGGTTAATAAGTAAATCAGATCAGAAAAAAAACAAGTTCAGTCCCAAAATCTACCCTATTTTGGGATAGTTTCTTCCAGTAAAGTTCGTTTTTCCTATAGACGCAGACAGATTCAGACGGTCACATAAATGTAGCAGATAGAGCTCATACTCACACAGTTTTCGACAAATGACAACTTGCAGTAAGGTCATTTTATACGTCACACTTTTCTGCCGAAAAAATTACATGGTTCTAATCAGTATCGAGTTCTGAACAAAATAGCCCATTCAGTTTTTCCACAAATTTTCATTTTTTTAATAACATTTTTGGTATCTCAAATTTCGACGAAAGATACATTATTCAATGCTGGATTTCGCGCTGATTACGAATATCTGCTTGATTTAGCGCTAAAATCTTACTAGCATTTACCAAATTACTGTTTTTAACTAATGGCATTTTTGACTATCGTTAACTTTTCGTCATCAGCCGACTCACTAACGTGTTTCAAAAATTTGAAACACACTCAGTCGTGTTCAGAATTGATTTCTCTATGTAAAATATGTCAAAATACAAAATTAATTTACTAGCATTCAAAAAGAATTCTTCTGATGTCTCGTCAAGAATAATTGTGCTTTATCACTAACCTATTTCATAAATATTTAGTTAATCATTGCGTTATCAAATTATCGACCATTGTGTAACAGCAGACATGATTCAAATTTAAAACTTTTTCTGATGGAATTGCAAAAACATATATATTCTTTGGCAAACATTTCTTCTCAATTATTTTTAATAGAACTCAATTATAACTTAGTCTATGATCTGAAAAAGATAAGAGAGATACTACATGTAAAGCAGAAACATGCTTTGTGTTTCAGTATGATAAAAGTAGCAACCATGTCGAAGCACACAGTCAACCCAGATCAACAGCGGTATATTCAGTATAATACAGATGTTCAGTCAGAACAATGGCAATATTTTATCGGTGATGTATTTGAAACAAGCGATTTGAAAAATGACAACTATCTGTACTGGGAAGATGAGCCGAAGTATTTACGATGCTTCAATCCATTTAAATATTGTTGAGCAAGGATTTGTCGTCTTGTTAAACAACAATTTTCAACGTGTCAAACAGGTCCCGTCAATTGATTTTGAGCAAGGCATTCATACGAGTCAATTTAGCCTATATTGCACCAGTTCGTCTTCTCAGTGAGAATTATTGAAATCAATAATTCAACGAGAGTTTGTCAACTGCGAAAGCGATCGGAGACTACCGAATCGAACTCGTCACATTGGATATCCACCAAAATGGCTAAGAGATTTCAATCACTATCCAGTTGCTCTTGAGTTTTTGACGAAACTGTGAGGAAGAAATGAACCACTCATGGCAAAAACGTTGAAATCGAGTTATAGTCACACAACTATTGGCCTTGCTGATCCAACGAAAAACGTCGATCAGTACGACCCTGTGTCGGCCATAATCCTACGTGCGACACGGCAAACACGGTTGGTGGCGAACTCCAGCTGATCGAACTAGAAAAGCAAGAAGCATTGAAAGTGATCGCTGAATATAACGGCGATATCCTTGATGAATATGTGCAAAATATTGATTTTGGTGGAGCCGGTTCGGTGATATATACGCAAGGCTGTGAAATTGCTCATCGTGTGAACACAGTTCTAAACAGCAGTGAACCTCGGATTACCGTCACTAATTCGTACATATCACAAAACCCATATGTTACCGAAAAACCTCGTTACCGGACATTCATGCACGAGTCCATCAGTGATTACGAGTTCACATTGCACAAAGCTTGGCGTGCACGAGAACAGTTGAAAGCGTTAATGATGTACGATAAAGAATGGCCCACAAAG